GGGTCATACAACAGAACATCTGAGGTGATCGAGCGGTTTATATATACTATCCAGCCCGTAATTTATTTGTAATTCGCGGGGTTGTCCGTTCTTCATGAAAAGCAAGATATATGTTAACCGGATATTCGGACTTGACCGGCGACTCCAACGACCATATTCCGGCGACCGGCGTGATTTCAGCGACCATCTGCCGCCAGACGCCTCACGCGCCGCCCGACAAACCTAGAGGATTTTCCACGCTCGTTTAGCTTACCTGACAGATCCAATCGCCACAGGCCATTCGTTGGCCCATGGAGCAGCCCGTTGCGCGAGGCCCGTCATCTGGAGGCCCAATCCGCGAAGCAGCCCAGCGGAGAAGGATGGAAGATCTCACGGGCCACAAAGCCCGCGCCCCTCATTTTTTCAGCCTGCCCGATGCCCCATGCGGCCCACGCCCATCAACTCTCTCCGGCCCACTTCAACAGCCAAATGCGCGCTCCTCCGCAGCCCAACGTGTCCAACAGCGGCCCAGCGACTTGTAGCGGCCCAATTAAGGTGACAACAAGCCAGCAGCGGCCCAGCGCCTATCCAGCTGCCCCTAAGCAACCCAGTTCGCTCCCAAGAGCTCCAGCAAGGGTTTGGAGGGTCCCAACGAGTCCAAGTCGAGTCCCGGGAGGTTTGACCAAGTCAACGGATGTCTCGGATGATCCGACATGGTCAGTAAGCAATCCCACGGTGATGGCAAAGCTAGTCCGGTTACCCAACGGACATGAGACTCAGACGATCTTCTCCAACGGAAATCATAAATGTCTCGGAGTAGGCAAAGTTTAAAAACAATACACGTTGAACCCTCGCTTTTAGTCTCGCTACACTTAGGGTTTAATTCGTAGATAGTCCGTAACATGCACATTACCGAGATTCTCATAGATCCCAACAACCTGCACATCACCATCGACAAGAAAAACACATAAAATGGGAAAACAAACAAAAGAAAAAAAACAAACAAACAGAATAAGGAAAATGCACGACAAGACACAAAATGGACCAAGAACCAAATAAAAATACCTAGAATTGGGAATAATAAATATCAAATAAACACGAAAAACACGACAAAAATGGAACGAACACACGCTTAAAATATGAGCACTCCTGTGTAAATATAAATGGTGTTCTACTTTCGCAGTAGAGTAAAAATCTTCCATATCTTATTTCTTAAGTTAACTTAGCTTAACTTAACTTAACACGTCTTTGAAAGCATGATATACAGTCATAACTGTTTCAGTTAAAAAGTATCTATTTTATTCTCAAATTGATTCAGCATAAAATAAAAATGTAATGGATTGACATATTATTTTTATTCTATTTTTTATACATAGATTAAAAAAGTTTGAGGAATGTTTGAAAACTTAACCAACTGATAAATATTTTAAATTGTATACAACAAATGTTCAAATGAAAAAAAAAATCGAGCATGTTAAAAAATTGAAATTTAAAAGTAAAAAAAAAAAATTCACACTTTATCGATTACGTTCGCACTTAATTGATCACATAATTATTCCACACTTTGTCAATGATCTTCATCAGTAATTCGCATTGCATATCCCACAATCGTTTCTCGCTTTATCAATTCACCTACTTGTCACATGGCTTATCGTATAATTTGTTTTGCATTTTAAGAGGTGAAAAAGTTCACTTTTTTTTTTATTTTGTGGCGTGTAAAACTTGTTCTTTCATCATATCATCAAGGTAAAAATATCTTTTTCTCTATATATAAACAACAATTATTTGTAAAGGAAAGAAATAGTATAGGTCTGTCTAATACACTAGAAACCTCCATCAAATAATAATAACAACAATAATAAACAACTTCACTATTTCTTAGAAATTTACAAATGCTCACAAACACTCCCGTTGTTTTCGATTGGCAAAACGAAAAAAACATAACCTTTTCCCACCCTTCTATAACACTATCTTCATAGTTTACACAATCAAACATATTGATTGAAACAAAAAAGAGATGTGTAATGTACTGGCACTTGCAAAGATGGACAATCTTTGCACTAAACAAATCACACTGCCCCTCATCTTCAAACCAATTCCATAGCTTCTTGTTGAGGCTTTGTGATGCTCTGCATTTGAGAAATCAAGATTCAAATAGGACACCAGATTCTTAAGAGTTACCGGTGTCAAAATCTGGGTAAATTTATGATTGACAAACTTGATAGAATGCAACTAGACCTGAAATAGATGTTCAAAACATGGTTTGTCGCCCTCCGAGAATTTTTTCAGGGATTCGAAAAGAAAGTTCGCTAAACTGATCTGCATAATAGATGTTAAAAGAAAAGTTAATAAACTAAATATTCGGGGCAAGTTGTGGGCAGCAGTTAGCAATCAAATATAAGTGGTTTACCTCATTTAGAGGATCCACACCACTAAGAAGTTCATCTTCAAAGTCATCTTCTTGGTCCTTAATAAGTCAATGGAACCAATTTCAACTCAGAAGAATGAAAGTAGAATTGGGTAATCGGATAATTGAAGAATCAAACACAATGAGTTTCATTCTGATTGTAACAAAATCTCTATTTCCAATTGAAAGAATGCAGCCCCCTTTAAATTTGTTCCTATTTTACAAATTATAAAATAACAAGTATAACGATTTAATGCATTACGAAATTTGTTCCAATTTTTACTAATTTAGCCTTCAGAGGAATTTGAATTTTCCGCGATATGACTAAATGTTGGGGGTAACTCTAGTAATTAATAACCCTAAGACTGGAAATCTTCAAAGACTGGGCAGCTTGTCAAACCTCATTAAAAGCCTTTGCCATGGCATCAAGATATTCATAAGTAGGTCTAACATGTAATGCGGATTTAGCAGAAGAAGATAAGAAATCATCATCTTCACTCTCAACTTCTTCACAGTTGCTATCGCTATCCTCCTGCCAAAATAAATTTTGCTGAGATTTTCAAAAATCAGCTTCACAGTCATGGATGTGATAGTGGGAAATGTGAATTTAAGTTGTGGCAAACTACCTCATTATCCCCATCTACTTGTTCTTGGATTTCTAGTAAAGTGTCCGCTAGTATAGCCAGAATCTATTGTGCCCAGAAAGCACGTAAGAATGTTAAATTAGAACTAAAACTTTAATAAGAAATCAAAGAAAAAAGAGAAAAAAAAAACATCAATTACATACCATTTTTCACTTTCATATTAATATGAAAAGACCATGCATAAACTAATACCTTAGTAGGAAGCGGCACAACTGTCCATTCATCTGGTAATTTCTTGGCTTTGGAGCGGGTCGTTATGCCTGTGTCAGACTATAAAAAAATGTATACGATAGAGTGAGCTTTTTGAGAATGCAAAATAAGTGCCAGATGTAAAAGGAGTAAAACCTAACCTTGATAAGATGACCTTTAACATTAATGTTCCCCAATTCAACATGTCGAGTCAAAAGCAACAAAGCCAAAGCAGTAGTTGTCACTTTAATTTGGTAGGCTCCTTGAATTTCCCCTGGATGTAATAAGCAAAACAACCAAATCGACGGATTAACAAATTCTCTAGATAAAGTCATGTTTATATTGAAAAAACGAAAAGGAAAATGAAAGAAGAAACATGATTAAAGAATATTATTACTTTGTGATGTAATGTATTTCACACAAATAAACAAAAGTCTAATTAACAAGAGGACTTGCGTTGTTGTTGGGTCCATTCAGACATTACATAAGAAAACGAGTTTAGATGACCTTCGGCAGGGATAGAGACGAGCAAGTCAACAAATTGTTCAACATGTGGGACACTCATGTGGACCTGCATCAGGGAAAATAACTTGAATTATCTATAATTTATAAAAGAAAAAAAAAACAAATTCCTACTTTGGAAAATGTTTTTATAAGAAAATCTGACCAATCTAGCAAAAATTAGAAGCAATGAACATTTCAGTGCCGCGATTTGTAAACACTGCATGCGTCTGATAAGTGATGTGCTGCGCCATTTGTGAAGGCAAATGTAAAATAAGCTGTAGAATGTAGCTGCCGACAAAAAGTGATCCGGAAGTTTCTAGTTCAGGGTCTAGAAGCCTGCACAACAATATAACCAAATTGTGATGGTGTGAGCGTGACTCACAGAAATATTACTTATTTCGCATTTATGTTAGGGGCTGAGGACATTTATTACTAGAAAATATAGAGCACAATGCATAAACATACCTCAGAGTCATGCATAAAAAATCAAATTACATATGAGTAACTGACATCTCGTCAAGATGGAAAACAATATTTGGGCGACAACGTACAGTACCCTTGAAGTTTAGCATAGTTTTTTTTATTTTCTAAATAAGAAAAGAAAGAAATAAAGAAAGAAAAAACACATGGTCATCTTTTAAAACTACAAATCACCCCAG